TTTTTCTTTTGGCCATTTCCCGTGCGTCCTTCATTTAATGGGCATTAAGCCAAGTCTACTATGCGGCGTTATTGGCATTTTTGATATTTGCGTTTCGTTTTGAAGGCCATTTCTATGCAGCCGCCGTAACGTGCCACAAGGCCCAAGCACCCAGCTTCAGCTTCAATACCAGCTCGAACTCCAAATGCTCGTGCAACATTATCGGGCATCAACTTTCCAAGTGGCCAAGTGGCCAAGTGCCTGCTTAGACGGCGGGGCCAGCCCCCATTTGATTTCCGTCGAGCTGCGAGCTTTGTTATTGGCCTCGTCCAGGGGCATCGTAAATTAGCAGCGGTTTATAGCCAGTACGTGACATTTTGGATGTGTCCCGGCGTCTGCAATTATTACGCCGTCTATTCATTTGCTGGTCAGTCAGCAAACTGACCCCTCACCCACTCCACACCACCCTCTTCACCCCTCCCTCGCCATTTGGATGGCTTTCATTCTTTGTGCGGCCTTTTGTGATTGTCTTTTAAGTCGGGCGTTGCCTTTGTGGCTTATGTGAGGTCACGCCCCTCTTGAGAGGCGCTGCCACTTGAGCATTTCCTTATTCAATATTTGCACAACAATAAAACTTTGATTGTTCCGATTGTTCCGGCTATACTATAAACTAAGCAACCAAATTCCCAAACTCCCGTCCCTCAACAACTGCTCACATTACGCATACGACGCGTGGCACTGATTTAAGTTTATTTCCTTGAATGGCTAATGAAAATTCGGGCAATAAATGAACTTCATACAGCAGATAGAGTATTTAGCTAGGCGAGTGCTACTTTGTCGCCCGAGTCTGGAACTATAAAAGCACATTCCATTGCGTTTGATATTTCAAGTTCTTTTTATGTGCTTTTGATTTAAACTTTTGTTTTAGGTTTAGCAATTAAGTAAGAATTGTGAATGGAAAAACGTTAGGAGGCAAGCAAACCAACTGCACAAATATATATTCCAAGAATCTCCCGGTTCTATTATCAGCAGACGTTGCCCTCGACTTTAGCATCAATCGCGAGTTTCCATATTGTTAGCTATTTTTTATATATAAATATTAATCGACAATAACTGATCTATTTCAATAATTTACCAGCTCTATTATCAGCAGACGCTTCACTTAACTCTAGCAATGCAATCGCCTCATGCGCTTTTCACTTTTCACGCTTTATGTGCATTTCTCAAGATGAGGGAATATAAGTGAAAGCTTATAAGCATCAGACAGTAGTAATATAAAGCTAGATATAAAGATATAAAGATTCGTAATTCGTAAATAACTGATGATGAGCCAAATCAGCTAAACTAATGCAAAACTTGTGAAGGATGCAGCAATTGTGGCGCATTAAAAACCCTTTTTAATTAAATATTTCTCTGCAGTTCGCAGCGAGTCATTATGAATGCGAGTTGCCAATGGCTGTTCCCTGCTATTTTTCCCTCTAACTACGTATTTAATAACTGTACTAACTGCACATCATCCTAATGAGCCAGAAAGTTAAAGCTGTAATGCAATCGCAGCAGCAGCAGCAGCACTTGCAGCAACAATTGCAATTGCTGCAGCAGCTGACAAAACCCTAGCAGCACGTAATGCGCTGCAGTTTAAAAGTATCTCAGCTTGTGTTTGCGTGTGTGTGTGTGTGTGGTTGTGCGTGCTGGGGCGCATTAAGAACAAGAAAGCTTTGCCATTGCAGTGCGTGACATAAAGTCGAACTATGGGAACCTGCTTGGCCAAGCCCCCAACCACCGCACAGCAAACGTGCTGCATTTTAGTGGCACGCTGGTTTCGCTGCTGTTGCAAGGCCAATTGCAGCTAAAGTTTGTTGACTTTGTGCCATTGTTTCGAATGGCTAAAAGTTAAGCAGAAAGCTTCATAATTTGGCTCTTAAAAATGTGCGACAGATAAGCAGCAAAACTGACAGTTCAAATTTAAACGTGTGCGTGGGGCAAACTATATGTATCCATGTTAAGAAGTTTGACGGGCGCATCAGCAGTTCATTTTCAACTTTATATAAGCCAATGGCAATAAACACACAGACAGACACACACACACACACACACACACACACACACACAGGCACAGATATACACACATGCATAACATAATAATTACATATAATAAAAACAATTTCTGGCATTTTATGGCCGCATAAAACTGTAGCATATTTTCAGGCAGCGCACTAAATTATTTTCAGGCCAGCAGCAACAACAACAGCAACAACTACAACAATTGAAGAACAAACGCATATGTAGAACAAAAACAACAGCGACAACAACATTTGCTATCGAGCAGTCGTCGATGGGGCCAAAAAAGGAATTTACTGATGAATTGCGGTTTAGTTTTATGAGTTGCCACAAGACAACATACACTATAAATGCGTGTGTGTGTGTGTGTGTGTGTGTGTATGTGTGTGTGTGTGTCTCAGTCCTTTTATGAGCAGCGGCAAACAAAGCTGCGCTGCGCTACGCTGCGTCAACATTTTATGCGTCTTTAATGTTTGTTTGTTCATAAAAATCGAGGCAGGCAACAAAGTTGAGCGTCTGAACAAGGCCCAAACAAATGCAACAAAAGTTGGCCAAGAAGCACTTTCCAGCTTAAGCTGATATTTTAATGTGCGCACTTTGACACTTTTAATGGAAACCCTAGCATTAATTTTCTTAATGAGCGCGCCCATTTAAAGCCTAACAAAAATATAAATAGCAAACCAAGAGAAGAAAAGAAGAAGAGCAGAAAAAAAAGCGCGGCAAAAAAAAATAAAAAAATAAAAAGATTGACAAATGGCGAACTGTTTGCGCTCTCATTGACAATGACATTGCGAATGACAATGGCGCAAACAATTTCCTGCTCATCATGGCCACATAATGAAGTTGAAGCCAAAAAGCCATTGCCGCACACACCTACACACACACTCGCTGAGCACACACATGACTGACGTTGGCCCGGGCCAAACAGGACGTGCAACGTGGCCGGTCAGCTTAATGAGCCGCACTAAATTCACACGAAACTTTTTGGCCAAAAGCTCCAGAGATGCTGTGCGGCATGCGGAGCTTGCGGGGTGGGGAAGTGGCAACGGGTGGCAACTATTTATCGCTGATGCCCGGACAAATGTGCTGCACTCGAGCGACTGGCAGGAATTTATTGACACACTCAATCGAACGCTTTGATCGTAATCCCTTCGCCTTGCGCCCAGTCACCGGCCAATAAACAACAACAATGCGTCAAGAGAGCAGACGGGGGAAGTCGGCGCTCCCCCTTCTGCCTCGCAAAGCTGTTACCAAAAGTTAGCAAAGTTCCTCTTCATTTAGCTGTTTGTTTGTGTTTGCCCAACTTTCCCCTGAGTGTGTATATGTGTGCGTGTGTGTGTGTTTGAGTGTGTGTGGGATAAGCGCATTAATTTTGCCAAACGAAATCTGCAATGATAAGTTGCGACTGCGAGTCGCAGTTGTTTTTATTATTGTCCCTCTCTCATTCTTTCTAAAAATATATAATAAAAGAAACTTAACAATTTAACTACACAATAGTAATATGTTAGTGTAAAGTTTTAAGTCTGTTGTATAAAAGGCTACGCATTTCTGGAACGAGTGTGAAATTTGTGACAACAATTAGAGTTGCATTTGAAATGTGCGGGAATGTTAAGAAATATATATAGATATATACATAAACAAAAATATATATGTACATATATACATATATATATATATATATAGCTAGGAAATTTGTACAATATGCTAATCATCGCCGGCAGCTCGATGGAACTCAAACACCTGTTGCTTGCTGCTGCCAGGCAGGCACTCTGCCTCCTCGTCCGTAAACACTTCCTCCGTAGCCAGGGGCGCAATTGCTGCCACCTTTGAGCTCAGATCCACCATTTGTATATCGGGGGTATCCGCATATGTCTTATATCTTGAGCGCTGCTCAGTTTTGGGCAGCTTCTTGGGCAGATGGGAATAAACCAGCATCATGACGGCAAAAGATATGATTACATAGCCTGTATGAGAATATATGATTTGCATATGAAAAAGGAGAGTATTTCAAAGTTGTTGCGAGCCTACGTACTTTCCATGACGATGTTGACGATTCGGTACGTTGAACCGCGCGCGTCCAGACGACAACCCCTTTTGTGGTCATACAGTTTGGGCAGGAACCAGAGCAGTGTTAAAGAGAACCATATTATGACCGCCAAGCGATCTCTCTTTCGGAGGCCAACGAAGAGAAACACATTGAGAAACACGTTGCCCATGTAAACGGTTAGCCAAACAAATGGCTCATTGTCTATGAAAATACGCAACCCAAAACAGCTGTCATTTATAGTATTATTTCACTTGGATTATTCGATACACGATATCTTACCATCGTCTGTTGTAAGCCGTAGTGCCACGCACCACATTAGAAAATATGATAGCGAGTAGTACCAATTGATTATTGAAATGCCAAGGCCCAAGTCCAAAAATTTGCTCATCTTGGCAGGCAAATGAGTGCGTCTCTTTATGAATGTATTTGTGAATGCGGGTGTGAATGTGATTGTGAATGTGAGTGGAACGCTCTTACGACATAAACAAACGCGAATCCGAACCCGAGACCGCTCGCCCAGAACGAGGGTTCAGCGTAGACTGGCGACCGTATTGTTTGGTCAGCCGTGTGAGAGAGAGCGCACGTGAGAGTGTGACAGAGAGAGAGAGAGAGCGTGAGCGGCCGAACGAAGAGAGCCGCCGAATGCGGCGAGCACGTGCTGTGGAACCCAATCCCAATGCAAACAACAAACAATGTCAGACTGCCATTGCCGGCAAGCCGACGTGCTAATGCCCTCACAAGGCAACTAAGTCAATAAAACAAATAAATATACTGTATAAAATGTATATTTATTGGTCACTTAATATACTTAAAATAAATTAAATAAAATATATTTATAAATATTATAAAAGTGGCATATTTTTAAAATATAAATATTAAAATTTAGGGAAGTCCATTTTGTTTTTTTTGAATACTTCAATCAATATAAAATTTTATAAAATTTCTTCGAGGCTGGTTGAGTTTCTTAGAATATTGAATAGTCTGTCGGTGACTTTTGTGTATAAATGCAATTATTGTTGCTTCCATGTTTGTTTTTGAAGCAAACACTTCCGAGTTTGAAGCAATATTCGAGTATTGTTGTTGTTGACTTTCACATTCCATTCCTCATTATTATCTAATCACAGTCGTAGTGCCCGCCTCCACTATCCTCATCTACCTCCCCAGAATCACGGCGCACACCTCCGCCGCTGCCGCCGCCGACGACATTCTCACAACAGCTGCTATCACCTGCAGAGGAGCTAGTCTGAAGTGCGCTAAGCATAAAATTGTTAAATGACGCACTCGAGCTGAGGCTATGATCAGGCTGCGGAGTTTCGTGCCACGTTCCGCCTTCCAGTCGTGCAATGCTATTCCGATTGGATCGTCCGACAAATGGTCTGCTTATTACCGGTGCATATATCCTGGCGGGCTTGGTCCTCTTAACTGTTTGATTTGTTGTCAGTATGTAGTTGACCGTTTGCAGGACTTGTTTGGGCGGCTTATAGGATTTGTTACCCCTTACTTTAACATAAACTATTGCCATTACAATGAGTGATACGAATATATAAACTGCAGCGGGGGATAACTCTTTGTTTAGTTTCAATAAATGTCAACTTATTGCTCAGTAACTTACCATTGATAATTATATAAGGATACAGTTCGTAGTTAGACAGTTCCATAAAGTCAACGCAAAGCACCCTCAACAGTAGCAAAACAATCGTAAAAGAGAACCACGATTGGATGGCCAATAGGTCGCTCTTTGGCAGCCGCACAAAGAGAAACACATTGAGAAATAAATTGAGCGAATACGCTCCAATCCACAGCCAAGCCGTCGTGTCTGGCATTAAAAGATACTTTCAATATATAAGTGTATACGTATATATGCATATTGATGCCAGTTAACAATTAAATACAAACAACTCACGGTCTAATTCATCTGCGCACAGACTGAAGCTGGCACTGCCAATATCGTAAAGTGTCCATATAATATTTAACAAGACAATGCCAAATCCCAAATTCGTGGCTGCCATATGAGAGCTTTCAATTTGGCGATAAACAATTCTAGATCAATCTCGAGATCACTCGCCCGTAACGAGGGTTCAAAGTAGACTGGCGATCAAATGGTTAGGTTAGATAGGTTAAGGCGAGAGAGCGCGAGAGAAGAGCGCGTCGGAGCCAGAGCCAGAGCCAGAGAAGAGAGCGGCATCGGCCTGTGGAACCCATTTAAATTGCACAAATTAAACGTTCTAAATTATCAGCTATTTATATTTTTAAAACAACAAAAAGTATACAAAACAAACAAATTAAACTAGACACATTAAAGACTTAACTTAACAAACACATATATGTTTATAGTAATATGACAACATAATATAAGTGACTATATTTCAAGATAAAATGAAAGATATGGCATATGCAATATTCGTTTAAGGCCTATCGCTCAGCCTCTTGTGTTTCTTGCCTACATCCAAACCCAGATTGTTTAAAGCACAATGCAATTACCGATGTTGTAATTTGTAGTCTTAAACTAACCACTTAAATATTTAACGAGATATATATTCCACTTTGTACTCTAATAATCGCCACCGACCAAGTTCAAGACCGCTCGTCCAGAACGAGCGTTTAGCGTAGACTGGCGACCGTGTTGCTTGGGCAGCCGTGCGAGAGCGCACCTGAGAGAACACAGAGAGAGAGTGAGAGAGAGGGCGGCGAGCACGTGCTGTGGAACCCATTCACATTAAAAGCAACAAATACTGCAAGAATGCCATTGGCAGCACGCCGACAAGCAAATGCCCTCACAATGCGGCTAAATCCATGAAACTATCTATATCGAATACATCGAATATATTTGTTTATTTAACAAACTTAACAAAAATTACGACGTTTGTGGATTACTAAAGCAAAAATATAGTAAATAATATAAAGCTACAAAAATTCATCTTAGGCATATTATTTGGCTTGTTGAGTTTCGAAGGATATTAGCTAGTCTATCGCTGACTATTTAAGGCACAATGTTTCATTGTTAAAAACTAAAAATATACATATAAATGCTTGACTATTTGTTTTAAGTAATCACTTCCGAGATTTAGGTAATACTCGTGTATTATTCGAGTCCCACATTCTACTTCAATCATCGCTTCCGTCTCCGTAATCGCAGTCCCCGCCACCACCATCATAATCTCCGCCACCACCTCCGGAGTCGCCGCCTCCACAATCGTAGTTCCCGCTTCCACAATCTACGCCGCCGCCATCTCCATCGGCAGCATTATCGCAGCTATTATCCTTATCGCAGCAATTATCCTTATCGCAGCAGTTTTCCTTATCATTGTCATCGCGGCAGTTGAAATCGAAACTATTGCACTGATTATCACCTGTTGCAGCGGTGCTTGTCTCAGGTGCTGTGCCCAGCGTAAATGACACATTCGAGTCTGGGTAGAGATCAGGTAGCCAACCCAAGCGTGGGTACTCGTGCCTTGCTCGGTTTTCCATCGATTCAGCATAATATCGATTTTCTCTCCAGCTAGTTGGTCTGCTTACCGTAGGTGTAAATGATCTAGCCGGCTTGGTCCTCGCTCCTGTTCGATTTGTTGTCGCGGTGCTGCCAACCGTTTGCGGAACTGGCCTGGCCCTTTCATTAGATTTCTTTCTTCTTAGTATAAAGTAAACTACTGGCATTATAACAATGGAAGCGCCTATAAAAGCTGCAAGCAGTCAGATTGCATTTTAGAATTCGATAAATGTTCAATTGTACACTAACTTACAGTTGGTAAATACATAGAATGGCCCATATTGGTATTTGTCAATGCAAAATAGCCTGAACAGAAACAAAACAATCGTAAAAGGGAACCACAATATGATAACATTAAGATCGTTCTTTATCATGCGCGCAAAGAGAAACACATTGAGAAATATATAAGTCGAATACGTTCCAATCCACATCCAAGGCGTGACGTCTGTTATAAAAAAGTATTTTTAGCACACACTTATCTACGTCATTTATGCAAATAGATTGACGTTTGCAATTAAATACAATCAAATGCGCCCAACTCACCGTCTGATTCATGTGCATTCAGGCTCATGCACGCACTTCCCAAAGCGGCAAGTGTAAAAAATATACTTAAGAGGGCAAAGCCAAGCCCCAATTCCTTAACGCTTGTCATATGGGGGTCCGTGGCAACTACCGACCAAAATCAAGACCAGTCGCTCAGAGCGATGGTTTAAGTAGACTGGATGTCAACTAAAAAGAACTCCAGAGAACACGCCGGCAAAGAGAGCGGCAAATGCTGTGGAACCCATTTCCGTTGCAAGCAACAAATACCATAGGAATGCCATTAATAGCACGCCGATAAGATTATGCCCTCATCCAGTCAATGAAGCAAGGTATATAAAATACAATGAATATATTTGTTTTTGCTATAGCAAAAATACAATAAATTATATAAAACTAAACAATTAATTTGAGATATATTCTTTGGCTCTTTTTAGTTTCGAAGGATATTAAATAGTCTATCGGTGACTATTTAAGGTACAATGTTTCATTGTTCTAAACTAAAAGTATAAATATAAATGATTGAATGTTTATATTAAGTCAACACTTCCGAGTTTGAGGTAACATTAGAGTATAAGTCGAGTTCCACATTATATTCTAATCATCGTTGCCCCCTCCACCATCATTGTCCCCGCCTCCACAATCTGCGCCGCCACCTTCGTCACAGCCGCCACCTCCATCGGCAGCATTATCGCAGCTATTATCCTTATCGCAGGAGTTATCCTTATCGCAGCTGATTTTCTTATCACTGTTATCAGCGCAGTTGAAATCGAAAGGATTGCACTGATTATCACCTGAATCAGCGGTGCTTGGCTCAGGTGCACTGGGCATAAACCTATGAAATGGCCCATTCGAGTCTGGGTACAGATCAGGTAGCCAACCTAAGCGCGGGTATTCGTGCCTTGCTCGATTCTCCATCGGTTCAGCATAGTATAGATTTTCTCTCCAGCCAGGTGGTGTGCTGACCGTAGGTGTAAGTGTAAGTGTAGCCGGCTTGGTGCTCGTTTCTGTTCGATTTGTTGTCGGGTTGCAGCTAACCTCTTGCAGATCTGGCTTGGCCCTTCCACTAGATTTCTTACTTCCAAGTACCAAGTAGACTACTGCCATGATAATAAGAGATGCACCCATAAAATCTGCAAGCAGTCAGATGGATGTTAGATTTCGATAAGTGTTCAATTGTACACTCACTTACAATTGGTAAGTATATAGAATGGCCCATATTGGTATTTGTCAATGCAAAATATCCTGTAGAACAACAAAACACTCGTAAAAGGGAACCACAATATGAGGACATAAAGATCGCCCTTCATCAGGCGCGCACAGAGAAACACATTGAGAAATAAATAGAGCGAATACGCTCCAATCGAAAGCGTGCCTGTTATAGAAAAGTACTTTCAGTATACACTCGTAGATACGTCATAGATGCATACAGATTCAATGAAATACAATCACATACACACAACACACCGTTTTTCCATGCACTTCCCATAGCGACAAGTGTTAAAACTATATTTATGAGGCCAATGGCAAGCCCCAATTCCATTACCCTGTTCATATGGGTGTGTCCGTTTTGACAGCTGCTGAGAAAACCGAGACCACTCGCCCAGAACGAGGGTTCAAAGGAGACTGGCGGCCATATAAAAAGAATGCCAGAGAGAACGCCAGCAAAGAGAGCGGAAAGTGCTGTGGAACCCATTCAAATTGCCAACAAAAATTCTAAAATATTAAAAAAACGAAAATACTTCATTTTTTATTTGTCTTTTCGATTGTGTTAAATATAATCTAGAGCGACAGATTTGCAATGTGGAACATAATTAATTTGTCAGCAAAAAAAATTGAGTTATGGTTTCTGCCGAAGTCCAAATACACTTGCCAAACAACTTCAGTAGTTCTTTGCTATTGCAATACTTTTCTTTATAAAGAGTATTGCTTGCATTTTATACAGAATGTAAAGAATCAAGAAATTAATCATATTTGCAAAAGTTTACGATTAAATGTAAATTCTAATTGCGCGTACTTTGATGTATGCCCCATGTTAGGGTATTAAAACGTGTCCGACATGTGCTGAAAAGTGAAAAAAAAGTGTCTCGTAATTTATAATGAGAATCAAGAGACATTTATAACGTTTGCGCTCATAGAGAGACATGACGTAAGAAACATGTGAGAAAAATGAGCTCACCCATTGCGTGCTTGTATACCCTGTAGCTCTGTATATGAAGCTCTCTCTCTCTCTCTATGGACCTGGCCTTAGGGTATTTTGTGGTCGAGAAATTCGTTTGTTTCAACTTGTTTTGTGTCAGCAGAAATTGTCATTGCTTAGCTTTGACTTGCAGTTGTATATTGCTTGGAGGCACAGAAAAAAAGTAAAAATATATTAAACGAGCTTTTAATTGTACAACCGATTTACAAAAATATTCCATTCGTACACTATACTCTCAGTACTTAAATCAGCTAGAGTATTTGCTGAAGTGTACCCTTGAACTCTTACTATTGACTTATACATTAACTGCCCATTCAAAAAAGAAGGCCAGGTCTCCGTTGCCAGAAGAAAAAAATCAATATTTGTGCTGTCATACAAAATATATATGATAAAATTTGCACTTATTTTTGAAATAGTTCAACTTAAACTGCAGGCCAAGAAACCCGTTGAATTGCAGTTTATATATGAGAAACCTTTGAGTGTGAACTTTTGATGTGAGACTCTGCAGGGATTGCAGAAAAAACTTTAAAGTTTTTAAAATTCGACAATTCACAAATTTATGTTTATGTCAGCATGAATATAATATAATATGACACAAATAATCTTTAATATTTAAACTGAAGATAGTTTTTTTTACATACAACAATATTATTTTTATTACAGTATTATTTTCTGTCTTGGCAGCATCTTTTTTAAGTTAAGGCTTAAGCTGCTGTTAATTTAATAATTTCAAAATATTTCTCTTTATTTTATTATTAATATAAAATGGTATCTTGTCTTGTCACCAACTTTTCTCATATAAAGTTTCATAGCTTCATACTTGGATATTATCTGTAAGCTAATCCAAATTTTACTCAAAGGAATTTTATTTAGATAAGGAACATGCAATTTTTTAAGCTGCTAATAATTTAATTATTTTAAAATATTTCTCTGTAAATGTGGTATTTTGTCTCAGTACGCACTTTTATTAGACAAATTATTTCAAATTAGGCGTGGTAGCTTATTTATTTTTTTCTCTCACGGATTTTATTTATATTACAGTGCTTAAAGTAATTATTGTTTGTTATTTATCTGTAACTAATGCGAGTTTCATGCTTTGCAATTCTATCCCGATAATATTTGTACATATGTAATGCTGACGTCTGGTTTCGTTGCAACGTTGCTTATATAGTCATTATACCTGATTGCACGAAAAGTAAAGCAATAATTAAAGGCCCATTAGTGCGACTTTGAAGCTAAGCAACGACATTCTACAATCTATAGTTATAGCTTAAGTAATACTATATTTAAACAGATTATTATTTAATAATTTACAAAGTCCAGTTGAAGCTTTTGCCTAACAGCTGAGTGCTCAAATTGTACTAGGGCAAACTTATTGAGTTGAATAGTTAACAGCCTGCTCACATATGTATAGAGTTTGGCATAAAACTGGTCGAGGGCTCTCTCCATGGAGTTATGATATTATAAAATGCAGCAGCTTTGGCAGTTTGATGCATAAAAACAGCAACAACGAGGCGACAGCTCAAAATCGTTGTAAAATATTTAAGCGTGATATGAAAATGCAAAACCACAGCAACCAACAACAGTCGGAAAAGTGTGTGTGTGTGTGTTTGTGTGTGTGTGTGTGGAGTTGTAAAAAGTTTAGCTGAGTTCACTTTAGTTTACTGTAAAAGCAGCGGCAGCATCAACGGACCTAGTTGATAGCTATGCTTTGGCTGGTTGCATGCTACGCGGCGTGTGGCACAAACCAATGAACCACATAATGCGGTATGCCCAACCAACGCACACGAACACACACACACACACACACACACACACACATAGCGAACGTTTAAGCAAGCGTGTAAATTATTTGAATTATTTATGAGCTGCAGCAACAACAACAACGTCAACAGCAACAACAACTGGTTGAATGACAGCTACAACAACCGCAGCCAACACAAGCAAAGAGCTTAAAGCCAACTGGTTGCACATTCGCCATGTGCAACTAAATGAACCATTCGCCGCACTCCCTCATTACCACCCCCTCCGCTAAAGTCAACTCGTTTAGGCGACAAAATCAAAATCTTGCACATTTACCGAACACAGCGTACAACATTTCAATCCCTTGACAGCGCTTAAACTGCGCCAAGCTTGCCCATTTTCCCGGCCATCGTTGTGACGCCTGATAAATGTGAAGCAATTCGGCCTGAAGGGCCAAAAGTTTTTGGTCAGCTGACTCGTTAGCGGTAATTCCCAGCTGGTTAATTTATTAATAGGCCGAGCAAACCCCAGAAGAATGACTGGTGTAAAAGAAAAACGTGCGAAGAGAAAACAAGTGAAATGTAAACACCACTCGTGGAAATGTTGCCTAACAAATTTAAGCTTAACATGAATAAAGGAATAAAACAATACATTTGATTTTGAAAAATAATAATTTTCCTGAAAATATGAGCACAAAAGCAAATAGATTGTCCATTAAGAATTCCGCATTCTCATTGTTTCCCAATATTCACAAAAACTTCAGAAAATTTAATTAAATATAATTGCTGTCCATTTGTTCTAAAGACATTCACAATTTTAAAATTTTATTAAGATCGTGCGTCATTTACCCAAGATATATATAGCTTAAATATATAGCTTTGTATCAATTTATATTTTCCCTTTTTAATTTTGGTATTTTTGTTAATGTTTTATTGTGATTTATTATTTTTATGTTTCCAGGCCGAGGACTCTCAAGAGGGCACGATTCCAAAATGGCAACTCAGGAGCGGGCGAGATTTAAAAAGAAAACAATTTATAAGGAATAAACATCGAAGCTTCGGCTGCTTCACCACCGGGCAAACAAATAATTGGAGCCGTTGGTTCTCAGATAATCCACATATCCTTCATCGTACCATATCATAGACATAGTCCTGGCGAACCTAAAAAGGCGATTATTTACAAAATGCGAGGATATGGCCGGTACCTCTGGCAGCTGCCCTCAACTGTGGACACGCGCCACCACAATGGTTGCTAGTTGACCTTAATATTCATGGTCATATTATACCGTAGATACAGTCCTGGCTAACCTAAATAACAGATGGTTTCTAGTTGACCAGAATATCCTTGGTTATACCATACCACAGATATAGTCCTGGTAAACCTATAAGTACAAAACCGTGCAAGATTCGCTCGGAAATGGTCCAGAAATATGAATGTATGAATCCGTTTTTCTTTCAGCCGTCCCAATAGCATCCCCTCCTTCAACTATGGTTCTCAGATGACCGATATATATCCCTGGTTTTAATATACCATAGATATAGTCCTGATGGACCTAAAGTTCCAAATCCGTAGAAAATACTCTCTGATACTCTTCGTTGACAATTAAGGCTTAAAAATTGACGGTTGCAAAATTCCACTTAACTAGGTCTGGCCGTTGGCTCACATTTTCAAATCAAAATTCAGCTGAAATACCAGGCGAACAAAAACGCCCAGCAGGTAGATGCACAGAAAATTTTATTTTAAAAAAATTCGTTGCATACAGGCTAGGTGCAAAAATGATGACTTGCAAGTTTTTAACAGTTTACTGTTAAACAACTGTTATTTAACAGTTCTTTGTTAAGTCGCTGTTAGTTAACATACCACGTTAACAGCCTCTGGACGGCGGACAACGGCGGAGATATGTCGTTTTGAAACGACATATCTCCAGGCGGACGTATAAAGTTTTTAGAGCGGCGGAGATTATGTCGTTTTGAAACGACATATCTCCCGCGGACGTGAGAAGATATTTTTTCGAAAACTTTAAATGGCCATATCTCGGCCAAATAAAGCCCGATTGCGGCCAAAAAGGGAGGGGCTACTCGTGGAGGTCTATAGAATCGAATACTATCAACGTTTATCGATTTCGGAAAAATGTCATTTTTCGAAAAAAACGTGATGGTTACACTGTATTTTTGGTCAATTTGGGTCATCTCTTAGAATGCCGATTTTTGGGTGGCAATCGATAGTCGGGATCCGTACGAGTAGAAAGAGGTATATCATTTCGAAATCGGACTGTATTTAGCCGAGTTATTTGCATTTTAATATTTAGTCAAATTTTGCTACAATGTGTTATTGTGAATAGCTATTATGTGCACAGCTCGAAAGTATGCAATGCTTTGCTTTAGTTCTTTGTGCACAACCACACGATTTTTTTTGGAAAACTTTAAATGGTCATATCTCGGCCAAATAAAGACCGATTGCGGCCAAAAAGGGAGGGGCTACTCGCGTAGGTCCATAAAATCGAATGCTATCAACGTTTTTCGAATTCGGAAAAATGTCATTTTTCGAAAAAAACGTGATGGTTGATCATGGCGACATTATGTCGTTTTGAAACGTCATATCTCCAGGCGGACGTATGAAGTTTTTAGAGCGGCGGAGATTATGTCGTTTTGAAACGACATATCTCCCGCGGACGTGAGAAGATATTTTTTCGAAAACTTTAAATGGCCATATCTCGGCCAAATAAAGCCCGATTGCGGCCAAAAAGGGAGGGGCTACTCGTGGAGGTCTATAGAATCGAATACTATCAACGTTTATCGATTTCGGAAAAATGTCATTTTTCGAAGAAAACGTGATGGTTACACTGTATTTTGGGTCAATTTGGGTCATCTCTTAGAATGCGGATTTTTGGGTGGCAATCGATAGTCGGGATCCGTACGAGTAGAAAGAGGTATATCATTTCGAAATCGGACTGTATTTAGCCGAGTTATTTGCATTTTAATATTTAGTAAAATTTTGCTGCAATGTTTTACTGTGAATAGCTATTATGCGAACAGCTCGAAAGTATGCAATGCTTTGCTTTAGTTCTTTGTGCACAACCACACGATTTTTTTTGGAAAACTTTAAATGGTCATATCTCGGCCAAATAAAGCCCGATTGCGGCCAAAAAGGGAGGGGCTACTCGCGTAGGTCCATAAAATCGAATGCTATCAACGTTTTTCGAATTCGGAAAAATGTCATTTTTCGAAAAAAACGTGATGGTTGATCATGGCGACATTATGTCGTTTTGAAACGTCATATCTCCAGGCGGACGTGTGAAGGTATTTCAATTTATTTTGGGTCATCTCTTTGAATGCGGATTTTTGGGTGGCAATCGATAGTCGGGATCCGTACGAGTAGAAAGAGGTATATCACTTCGAAATCGGATTTTTTTTGGAAAACTTTAAATGGTCATATCTCGGCCAAATAAAGCCCGATTGCGGCCAAAAAGGGAGGGGTTACTCATGGAGGTCCATAGAATCGAATGCCATCAAAGTTTTATGATCTCAGAAAAAAGTCATTTTTATTTATTTCAATTGGAATATTGTTGGCCTGGCTACAAAAATATTATTTGTTAAAATCGTACTGTTTCTACCCGATATAATATTATTATAATTTATATTATTGTAGCTTTACTACTTAAGCGAGTTTATTTGCCAACATTTTACTTAAGATATACAATCAATTTAACTGGTCCCCTCCGTATCGTTTAGGTATGCTCTTGTAGTTTGGTGTCAACATCTGCCAAGCTGTTGCTGACGGCTGAGTTCAACTAGTGGAACTGTAAATGTTGCGGACAGTTTGGGTTTGGTTGAAAAGCCAATCTTTTAGAAATTGTGTGCTTGAGTTTAAAGCTTCAAGATCGATAAGTCGTTGTCACCATAGAAAATCTGCAAGAAAATGCAAGAGTTAGATCTATTTTTCATTGAAACAAACATAACTTTTATAAATAACCAAATAAGGTGTATTCATCAAGCATTTCGCATTTCGCAGCTAACAATACCATCGATTGGCACTCAAGGATGTGGAGCATGTTGCTAGCGCCTGTTACTGCGAGGCATGCCAGAAAGCTAAAGGATTCGGGATAAAGGAGTTGTTATAGTTCAGCTGTTAAGCAATGAATCAATTGTTTTATAGCTTACTTTTGTCCTTAAAGCGAATGCCAATTTTGTATTTTGGGCTTGGCGCTTAAGTAGAATCCCCATTTAATATTCAACCAGTGTGATGCCACTTTTTGCTCCACATAAAGATCAGTTTCTTCCATTGGACTGACATGTAGCTGTAACCAGTCCTGGTAGCTGTTAAAGGCCAGTTAATTGAGTTCCAATCAGAAGTCAGTCGGTTTTCCCGTAGGGCGAATCGCGTTTCCTTACAGATCCTGCAATAGAAATGACCGTGAAATTGTGAATGAGATGCTTATTTTATAATTTCATTAAATGCTGTCGAAAAACAAAATTTCATCACATTGGGCTAAGAAAGACATCACCGGCTTATGCCACAAGTTGTTTGGCAACGTTTCTTTTTTTAAAGATACAGTTACATGTACGTGTGTATCTGTCGGATTGCTGTCTTTGGCTGGCTGTGCCATTTGGGCCGCTTGGCGGGCAAATGTGCTCACATCACGCATACGACCCGTCCCCGCTCCACGCTCAACTGATGGCCGCAAAATCTATCGCCGAGTGGCATAGGGCGGGCAAAATGGGACTTAGGCTCGCAATATGCCTGCCAATTGCACGCACTTTTGTCGTTCAATTTACTTGGTATTGCCGCAGCCAGTGGCAATGGCAATGGCATTGGCAATAGAAATGGCATTGGCATTTTTGTGCCCTAAGTGGCTCAGTCGAGTTGGCTGGGATGTGGCACGGGCATGTTGCACGTTTGTTTGTTTGTCTGCAGGTTTCGCAATAATTTGGTCTATTTGTTGGCCTGGCATTGAGTTTATTGAATTTGGCATTTGCATGTTATACGAGCGCCGAGCATGTGAAGACAACAGACATCCAGCAGAGCAGAGCTGCTTTTGCTCCTCCACCCACTCGAAAGCCTCTTTATGCCCGGTTGAGGGGTGTCTTTATCTAGGTTTTGTTTTTTGTCTATGTCGCTGCTAGAAGCTATTCAATTATCTGTTAGTAAATTTGGCACTTGAAGTTGTTTATTGTGCACGATGCCACGACGCCAATTGAATTTGCTGCCTTAAAAATGCCAAAGCCCCCTGCTCGTAACCAGCGCCGGCTGCGTCTAACTCCACGCTTGGGTGTTTGGCAGGTGTGCGTGGGTTGAAATTTAATTTCACAGCCAATTAAAAATGTTGCACGGTGCGTATGATGAATTTGAAGCTGGCTGCCAACAGCTGCGGCTTTTGTAACTCACGTGCACCACTTGGCAACTTTGGTAGCTTAATTGCCAGAGCAGCCCCTCCCTTGCTCTGCATCATTTTGCATCATTTTGAGGCAGAGTACCTATTTGAATACCGCTGACAGCTCACTTCGGCTTGATTTATGCTCGGACCGAACGAGCAGCAACAAAAGCGAGCCCAAAGAAAAAAAAGGAGCACCAAAAACAAAATGAAGCCTCGGCAAAGTGCAAAAGCAAATTAATTATGCACATTAACTTTTGTCGCCTAATGTGCCGCGCTGCAAGTTCTGCGCTGATCAGCATAAGCCAAGGCTGAGCTGACCCAAATGCCCAGCCTGAGCCGGTCTCGGTGTCTGCGTCCTTCAGGTCCTTGAGCCGCAAAGTGAACGAACCGACATTGAAAAATGGTCGAGGCCGCAGCAGAAGCCGCTTAATTAGTGCGTAATTTGTAAGTCTGCGAAAAGGAAAACAAAAAAACAAAAACAAACAAAAATATAACAAAAAAAATTAGAAAAGAAAAACAAAAAATAGGAATGGAAATGGAAATCACAAAAGTTCGCAGAGACCATAAATGAAACAATGAGAGGTAAATATTAATTACGAAAATGGCAAGTTTCAAAGCAACGAAGCGTAAGAGAGAAAGAGAAAGGGAGAGAGAGAATCAGAGAAAGAGAGGCAAAAAGAACTGTCTCATTGTATGCACATATGACACAGATGCTTGCATATATTTAATATAAAATACTACTTATTTTTAGAGACAAAAGGCAAACCAATTGTGAGCTAACAGAGGAGCGAGAGAGAGAGAGAGAGAGAGCGAGAAAATGTGAGAAAGAGACAGAGAGAGCAGTCTCACTTGTTTCATAGATGACATAGTTTCATATCAAACCCAACCAAATTCTTGAGGCCCTCGCAAAAGGAGACCCTTTTTAGCAAAAGGAGCAGCTGCCGCTCGTCCTTTTAGACCAATTCTTTGTTGTTGCTGCACATAAAATATTTGTTTATTTTTAATTTCTAACACCGCTTTGAAGGCGTTTATTTTTTTCTTTCTTTACGCTTGATTGAGGTACCCGGCAAACCCGAAAGCCAGTCGGCATAAACCGCAGTATTTGCATTATTTCATGCCTTGTTTGTTTAGGGTTACGTCGCTGACCAATGTGGCCGGGCCAGGACAGCCCACACAGCCTCACCTGGCCACGCCCTGTTCGTATTTTGTGGGCGTCACAGGTGTCAATTAGTGTGGCCAATTTGGCATGCATGGGCTTCAGCGGCAGCTGTTGCTGTTTGCTGCCAAGTAAACAGCAGCCCCCACATTGCGCATAAATGCTTTAAATTGTGCCTTAAATTTTGTTCATCGAATTTGCATATTTTTTGTTTGCATGCAGCAAATTTTATGCGTGCCACACATCCGTCTGGCAGTCGCTGGCGCGCAGCACTCGTGTTGCATAGCTGCAGGCGCCTCAGCGGCTGTGGTGTCCGGCGCATTCCGGGCACTCTTTAAGGTTATTTTGGTCAGCGCCATTTTGGTGCTTTTGTTTTTAATTATTTTTGCACAATGCTTCGCTCATTGAAATGTTAATTAATGGACTCGAGTTACCTTTGCTGGCTGCCAACAGCTGCAGCTGCATGTGCCGCAAGCCACAACTGAAGCCTGAGAATATTGTGAGCTCTTAGGCTGACTTTAAATAGTTCTTGCTGCAGCTGATAAACTAAAGGACTAAAACACCGTTTGCTGCTCGCCTTTAACAGGGTATGCAGCTGGTTGGGCCGCAGCACATTTACCTGTTTTGAGCAGCAGCGCTTTTTTTTATATTCTTGGCCTGTTGCTGGCGCCGGACTTTAACAAGCGGCTCGTTAACGGCAACCGCGCAATTACACTCGAAACGCTTTAAATTTTAAGTGCGGGCCCGAGTTACTGCAGACTGCCCGACTAGCTGACTGTTGACTGCCAGCTGCTGACTGTGTGGCACCTGTTGGCAATGACGCTGCCGTTGCTGCTGGCACTCACTCAGCGCCACGCATGGCAACCCTGCCACAGCCTCTGCTGCGTCCATTGTGGGCTAATTGGACGCAGTATGCGGTACTTTGCAGCTTCAAGTTCACTCGACAGGCATTTCTGGTAATTGTACACCCTGTACACTCATTTAAATGAGTCAAAAGGGTGTGCATAATGCACTTCCGCATTTATAAACATTTTTGTGCCTGAAGGCGAGGCGTGCTTGGCTGGGTTTCAAGGTTTATTTTTAATTTTTAGACAAATATCATCACATATATATGTAATAATAAAAATGAAAGCAAATTAAAAAAAAGTCGTGCCTTAAATTGTTTTTTATGTCATGCGTGTCCTGTGTTCGTGTTAAAGAATCTATCAAATATATATTTGGCCGGCGATGCGTCTGATGCTGCACATTGGCCTGGGCCCCGAACTGTGGAACGCTTGGCCGCGGGCAAAAAAAAATAAATCAACATTTCATTGGCATATTAATTTCATAGCTCAGCACTTTGGGCGCACATTTTTATTGCCAGTTGTGGCTCTCTCTGTAACTATGCGGGCATATGCGACTGGCGAACGAGCAGGCGACATGTCGCTAATAAGAATGCCACTCAGACTCAATAGTTTATCAGACAAGCGCATTTATGTTTTCTTATCATTATTTCCGCCAAAGTTTGGTGAGAAACAGCTTGTTTTCAGTCGAAATGTGTTTCATACATTAAGATAACGACATGACCTTTTTCTGCGAAAAATTAAATATTGACAATTGAGCGAATGCAATTTGAAACATTCGCTAAAATATTTTGAAATTATTAACATTCTAAAAGAGAGAGAGAGGGAGAGAGAGAGAGAGAGCGAGAGAGAGAGAGAGTTTCTCTAGTCCAGTGCTAAGGAAGTTTTTCTGGCCTTTTCTGGAACTTGTTGACTCAATGCCTCGCTTTGGCTTCCAGTTGGGCATAAAAATAATAATTGTAGCCGCCAGCGCCAATGGACGCCGTTTCCGGTTTTTCAAGTTTGTTTTTCCTAGAACTTCCTTCGGCTTCCTTTTCCATGCTCGCCGCCGCCGCTCGCATATTTTCCGCACTGCAACTTGTGCTGTGTAATTTTAATTTTCCAACGTCAACGCAACGCCTCAGGCAGCTCAGCTACGCGCAGTCTACAGTCTGAGGGGGCTGTCGATAGAGAAGGAAGGGAGGATGCTGCTGGTCAGCTTTATTGCAAGTGGTGTCCAATGGATGGGGTCTGGTTGAAAGCTCAAGGACTTTGATGGACGCGTGCCCCCGCCCCGAACGTCTTTTATTGCTTATATATTTCATGTTTGGCATATTTTTGCCATTTTCACATTTTCGCTTGGCAAATGAAAATGAAAATAAGCAGAAGAAGTAACAGAAAACGGAACGGACATTTTTTTTAATAAAAACATTGCTGTTGCTGATTTAATCAACGAATATGCCATATTCAATTTAACCATCATCTTTGAGAGGCAGCTGGCCCAACAAAAATTGCCAAAAGCCAAAAGCAAAACACCGAAATGCAACTTACAAGGATATGTGTCAAGTGGCAGTGTCCGACTGCGAACTAAGCAGCTGGACACCAGCTGCATGCAACATACACACACACACGCACACACAAATACAGCCTGTGAGCCTTCTTCAGCCTTAGACTTCTCCAGAGAGCCTGGCATTGCAATTTATGCAGAGTGCTGCATTAATTAGTGGATCAGTTACAAATGTCCGATCTGTGGCAGCTGCAACTATGCCTCATTACCCATACACTACGCCCATATTTAGGGATGTTATCAACTGAATTCTCGCATATTCACACTTTATTTTGAGTTGATACACTGAAAGCTAGTAACATCTTATTGATTAGGTTTTTATTGAGATGTCAATTTTTTCAGCGCTGCCATCATATGGCGGCGGCTGTTTGAGCTCTGTTACCGCACCCAATGTCAGCTCTACGTAGTCCTTATATATGAGATGCATCATGTAGCCAATGCCAGCTGAAATTCACAAAAAGTTTCAATTTGCAAAAGC